ACTGGGAGCGGGGTTGGAGTCAGCACATGGTCACACTGGGAGCGGGGCCGGGAGCGGGGTCGGCACATGGTCATGCCAGGACTGGGTTCGGTACTGGCACGTGGTCCTCGCGTCTCACCAGATGCACAATAAAGGCACAGTGGGCCCCACCATCCCTCCCCATCCTCATCCACCAGGATTGGGATTGGAGTCAGGATCAGCACACAATCCTTGTGTTCCCATCACCCAGCCAATACAGGTGTGATGGTCCCCAGTGCCCTTCATCTTCCTCATCCCAGTCCTCACCCCACAACACCCTAGGGAGAACCAAACCAGGAATAACGTAACCCTCACCCCTTCTTCCTCCTCCCTGCACGAGGCCGAAGGCAGAGCCGAGCCAGGCTGGTGGAATGGGTTTATTAATTAATGATTTAGTACAACACAGACCCTCGTTACGCCGCATGCATTGGGGATGGTGAGGGGGGTGTGACCCACCACAGGGGCAGTGGGGGCGGGGCAGGACCCCCGACCCAACACCCCGGGGAACTCTGTGCCCTGGGGTGTTGGGTCGGCCATCCTGCCCCCCCTCCGCCTCATGCCCCCCGTGCCCCCGCCCCCTTCAAGGGGTCTGTGCCCCTCCCCGCCGCGGTTTGAGGGTCCCCAGGAGGGTCTGCACCCCCCGGCGCACGGAGGAGCCCACCCGCCGCGCCACCGAGTCAGCCGGGGGGGCCGGCAGGCAGGAGCTGGAGGCCTGGGGCCGCGCGTCCAGGCACTTCTGGTAGCGGAGCTGCGGGGAAGGGCGGTCAGCATGGGAGAAGGGGGGCTCGGGGGTCCCACTCGCCCTGCAGCTGGCCTGCAGCGGGGGGCACAGGGAACTGGGGGCTTGGGGGTCCCACTCACCACGCAGGCGGCCTGCAGCGCCTCGCTGAGCCCCGCGGCGTTGGGCTCACACCACACCATGTGGCAGCGGAAGGTGCCGGGCGCACTGGCCATGATGAAGGCGAAGGCGCGGACGTCGCGTCCCACCCCCATGAAGGACAAGAACCGCACGCGGCACTCGCACAGCACCGCCTCCGTCTGGGGGGCACGCGGAGGGGTCAGCACGGCCTCCCTGGCTGGGAGGGGATCCCCAAGGTCCCGTGGAGTGGGGGGACACACTGTGTCCCCGTGGTACAGGGAGGGGTCCCTGCAGCCCCCCAACATGGAATGGGGTCACTGAGGCCCTCAGAGCAGGAGGGCATTACCAGTGCAGGTGGGGGTCACCATCTGGGGGGGGTCACCAGTGTGGGTAGGGGTCATTGCACCTTCCCAGAGTGAGACAGGGTTATCACAGTGGGGTGGGGGTCACCATGGTCCCCAGAGTGTGAGGGGGGTCACCACAGCCCTCCAGGGCAGAAAGGGGGTCACTGCAGCCCCTCAGAGTGGGGAGAGGTCACCAGAGACCCCCCCAGGGTAGGGGGGTCCCAGGTGGGCACACACCTGGCGGTGGGCAATGGTGAGGGTGGCAGGGGCCACGCTGACCACGACAGGGGTGGGTGCGGGGGGCTCCCCCGAGCCAGGGGCCAGTGCTGCCTCCAGCGCCGCGTTGATCACGTCCATGCCTGGGAGGCAGAGGGGTCAGGGCAGCCCTGGGTGTGCCCCCAGCCCACAGCATCCCGCAGAGGCCAGAGGGAGCTCCCTTGAGCCCCCCACTCACCCACAGGCTTGGCGACAGGGACGCAGCCCAGGTAACACACGGGGAAGCGCTGAACCGCCTCACTCTTGGGGGCCGGGAACTCCACTGTGGGGGGCACATCAGACCTGCCCAGAGCCCCCCAAAAACCCCCAGAGCTTCCCTACCCCTCAGTCCTCACCCAGCACACCCCAACACCCCCCATCTGCACCACCTCGCTCCTGGGGACTGGGAACTCCACTAGAGGGGCACTGTCAGGAGCCTCCAAAGCCTCGCTGAACCCCCCAAAACCCACCCTCTCCCCAACCACTCCCCAGCACATGCAGCCTCCAGACACATGAGCCCCGTGCCCTGGACCCCCCATGCCCCCTCCCCAGCCCTCCTCCAGCCCTTTTCCCCCCCACCGCCCCCCAGATCCCCAATCTCCTCCAGATCTCCCCTGCTCCCTCACAGGTACCTCCCCCTCCCACACCCTGCAGGGGGGTCCCCCAGCCCCATGCCCCGTACCCTGCAGGGGGGGCTCCCCCAGCCGGGGGTGGTCGGTGCCCAGCCCGTTGGCTGCTGCTCGGGCGCTTCGCCGCTCCTCCGTCAGCTGGGGACAAGAGGCACAAACCCCCACAGTGTCACAACACGGGCACCCCCAGGACCCCCGTGGTGACCCACAGCCCCCTAGACGTCACACCATGGCCCCCCTGGATGTCACACCACGAGGATCCCCAAGGACCACCTGGTTGTTCTGTGGGGACACCGGGGGAGAGGGGCTCACCCTGGGGGCTGACTGGGGGGGCCTGGAGGACCCCGGAGGTCTCACCTACCCACAGACCCGGTGTGGGATGGGGAAGCAGGGTTTGGGGGTGTCACCTGGACATAGACGTGGTACAGGCCAGGGGAGGTCCCGGGGGGAAAGAGGGGTGGTTTCGCCTGGGGACAGACTTGGTGCAGCCCAGCAGGGAGGTCCCGGGGGGGTTGGGGGGTCCCGGGGGTCTCACCTGTGCGCAGACCCGGTGCAGCCCAGCGGCGATGGCGCTGGCCGGCCCCTCACAGTGGAACACGTGGCACTTCAGCACCTGTGTCAGGGGGTCCCGGGCCACGTACGCAAAGTCCCTGGGGAAGGGAGGAGTGTGCTCAGGACCCCCCCGGCCTCCTCCCTACCCAGCGTGGGCTGGGCCTGGGGGCACTGGGGGGCTGGGGGCAGGTTGGGGCCGTACCTCTCCCTGCGTCCCCAGCAGCGCGGCAGGACAGAGCAGGGTTAGATGGGGCAGGGGAGGCATGGATCCCCCCCACAGCCCCAGGACCCCCACAATCCCCCAGAACTGGGTCTGACCCTGCTCCACACCCTTCCCTGCTGAGGAGTTCATTGCTGAGACCCCATGGCCCCCATCTGCTACCAACGTGTGGGACTCCCCAGTCCTGTACACGAGACCCCCGCACCTCACCCATATGGAACCCCTCAGCCCCCTGCCTACCTCCACACCCAGATTCCCCCATCCCTGTGCCCCACGTACATAGCAACCCCCCAGCCCCACATAAGTGGGACTCCAGAGCCCCCACTCCATGTACGTGGGACCCTCAAGCCCCATGGACTCCCACACGCCCAGACCCCTCCCCATCTCTGCACCCCACATACACAGGACCCCAGGCCCACATGCACCCAGCCCCCTGCAGACACCAGCCCCCTGTGCAACTGCCACCTGGCCCCATGCCACCGCACGCCCCACACGTGGGTACCCTGTGCCCCACCTGCTGCCATGCCGCCCCACGCCCCACATGCGGGTACCCTGTGCCCCACCTGCTGCCATGCCGCCCCACGCCCCACACGCGGATGCCGCCCACGGGCTGCGCGTGCAGCAGTGCCCGGTCCCGGGGGTCCACGAGCTTCAGCGTGCGGCCCTCGAGCAGCAGCAGTGCCCGCGCCTGGGGGCACAGGGTCAGGGGCTCCCTCAGCCACCCCAGGTGCTGGGGTGGCGGTGAGGGGGGTCAGAGGGTCTGGGGTCACTCACCTCCCCCCAGGTGCCAGGGGGGCCGTCGCGGGGCCCCGAGAGCTGCCGGATGCAGGCGCTGACGGTGCCGCTGCTGCGGCCGGGCCCCAGCTCCTCCTCCCGCAGCTGCACCCAGCCCAGGGAGCGCACCAGCAGGCCCTGGGGGCAATGGGGGTCATGGGGGGTGTGGGGCTCGGGGACAGAGGGGCAGGGGGCAGCATGGGGCAGCCCCAGCCCCCAGCAGAGACCCATCCCCCCTCCCTGTGAAGCCTCCAGTCCCGGGTCAGGGTGGACTCGGAGTGGGGCACAGCCAAGGCCCCTCCCATGGGGGTGACAGCCCAGGGCAGCCCTGAGGAGGGTCCCTCAGCTCCCCAATAGTGGGCCAGATCCCACAGGGGTGGGGAAGGGGCCCTGTGGGTTAGAGGATCAGGGATCAGCCCTACCTTGGAGTTCAGCACGTCCTCCTCACCCAGGGCCATGCTGCAAGGGGAGGTGGTCAGCAACTTCACCCAGAGACTCTGGGACACCCAACTCCGGCCACGTAAACCCTGGGAGCCCTCCCACCCCCAACCCCAGTCCCCAAGACCCTGGGACCCTCCCCATCCAACCACTGCTTCCTGAATCCTGGGGTCCCTCCACCCCACAACCCCTGACCCCCATACTCTGCCCCCCTGTCCTACACCTAGATCTCTGCCTCCCATGACTCGGAACTCCCCACACCTGGATCCCTGTCCCCTGTGACTCTGGAACCCCCCACGCCTGGGTCTCTGCTCCCAGATCTCCCCACACCTGGGTCCCTGCCCCCAGACCTCCCCACACCTGGGTCCCTGCCCCCAAAGCCTGGCTCCCAGCCCACACCAGATCTCCCTCCTCCCATGCTGCTTGTGCCCTGAGGTCCCACCTCCCCATAGGGCCCAGGCACAGCCCCCTGCACCCCACAGCCCCTGTGTCCCCCCAGACCCCCGCACCCCTCTCCCGGCGATCCTGGGCCTGGCGACGGCGTCTCCACATCTGACGCTCCTGGTTCCTCATCTTCCTCCTCCTCCTCCTCCTCGGCTGTGGGGTCCTGGGGGGCAGGGGGGGCTCGGTGGGCCACTGACCCCTCCTCCCCCCTTCCCCCCACTGCCCCCCCTCACCTTCCACAAGTCTCCGTCGCCGAAGGTCTCGGCTGGGGCGAAGCTCGTCCAGGAGAGCTGGGAAGGGTGGTTTGGGTCAGGGTGCACCATGGGGCAACCCCACAGCAGCCCACGGCCACCCCATGGCCATCCTGTGTCCCACAGCCACCCCACCCCACAGCAGCCCCCAGTCACACCATAGGCACTTCGTGGTTGCCTCCCAGTCACCCCCCAGCACACTACAGCCACCCCACTCCTGATCCACAACCCCTGATGCCCCATGGCAACACCACAAACACCCACAGCCACCCCCAGATGCCCCACAACTGCCCCCAGTCACCTCACGGCCCACGGCTTCCCCACAGCCACCCCACGGTCACCCCATGGCAGCTACATGGCCACTCTGTGGCCTCCCCACAGCTGCTCCACAGCCACCCCATGGCCTCCCCACGGTCACCCCACACCCATCCCCTCCCTCAGCTGCCCCACAGCTACCCCCCAGTCCCCACTCACGGTGGGCCCCTCAGTGGGGGTGCTGCCATCGGAGGGGGTTTCATGGGGCCCCCCGGGGGGCTCCCACTGGGTGGTGCCAGTGGGGACGTGCCAGTAGTAGGTGCCTGAGGTGTCCTGCACCCGCAGCCACCCGGGGGGCAGGTCCCCATGTGCCCCTGCGTCGCGCGGCCACAGCGACTCTGGGGGGCATGGAGGAGTCAGAGGGGTCCCAGCCCCACACACAGCCCCGTGCCCAGGGACATGGGGACCCCCAGGAGGGCTCCACAAGGACAAGGGGGCAAAGGGGGGGGCCATGGAGCTAACGGGGGCTGGGGGGCAGCGGTGGGCACACAGTCAGGTGTGGGGGCAGACAGGACCATGGGGGCACAGGGAAGGGGCAGGCAGGGGCGGCCGTGGGGCAGTCACAAGTCACCGTGGTGCCCACCTGGCTCGTCAGGGGAGCTGCCCTGGCTCAGCGTGGCCCAGCTCGAGTCTTCGTCGCTGCCGGGGCCGGGCCCCCCGAAGAGGCGGCTGGCGCTGCGCCCGGGGGGCTCCCGCGGGCCCCGCTCCGCGCCCAGGGCCGGCGGGGAGACCCCGGCCGCGTCCTCCTCCTCCTCGTCCTCCTCCTCATCCTCCTCCTCCTCTTCCTCCTCCGAGGCGCCGATCAGCAGCGCCCGGGGGTCCCCGGCGGTGTTCCGGGCGTTGCGGGCCTGGACCCCCGGCTCCAGCGCCCCCGGGGACGCCCCCGGGCCCGGCCCCGGCTCCAGCTCGTTGCGGTTCTGGTCCCGGCCGGCCTTCGCCCAGCCGGCGCCGGGCAGCTCCTCGGCCGGGGCCCCGCCGGGCCCGGTGCGGGGCTCGGGGGACAGCCCCAGGCTCAGCCCCGGGCACCGGTTGTCGTTGGCGAGGTCGCTGCGCTTGCTCAGGGCCCCCGACATGGCGAGGACACGGGGACGGGCGCGACCCCCGGCACGGCGGGACCCCCCGGCCCGGCCCGGCCGCTCCTGCCGCTGGGGGGGTCCTACAGCCCCCGGGGCGCCTCCGCGTCCATCGGGCCTGGGGGGAGCGGGGGGGCAGCGCGGGCAGGGGACCCCGGCCACGGACCCCACGACCCCCGGCTCCCCCCGCCCGGGGTCCCCCCACTCCCGCCCCGCGGCCCGGCCAGGGGGGACCACGAAGGCCCCGCACGCACGGACCCCCCGCCCGGGCCGGCTCCGCGGGGTCTCAGCGCTCCCGGCCCCCCCCTCGCCCCCGCAGCGCAGCGGGGACGGCCCGTGTCACTCCCGCGCATCCCCCCCGTTCCCTCCCGTCAATCCCCATCTCCATCCCCGTCTCCACCCCCATCCCGTTCCCATCCCGACCCCATTCCCGGTACCTGCGGCGGCGGCTCCGCTGCCGGGGGGTCGCGGGGGGGGGTCGGGGGGGGCTCAGGGGCTGCGTCACTTCCGCTTCCGGCAGCGGACAGACAGCGCCCCCTCCCGCGCGGGACCCCCGGGAATACTGGGAACCCACGGGACCCCCGGGAATAGCGGGAACCCTCCGGGACCCCCGGGAATACTGGGAACCCACCGGGACCCCCGGGAATAGCGGGAACCCTCCGTGACCC